GAGGACTCAGAGGGATGAGGGAGAGACGGGGATGGCAGGATGGGGTGATGGAGGTGGGATCGGGCGGGATGGTCGTGGTCGTCGCTTACTGGTATCCACGCCGTCCGGTAGAGTTGATCGCGGCGATTGCTTGCTGAATGTCGTCGTCGCCTGGTTGCTGCACGTCGTCGTAGATTCAGCCGAGTAGACCCACAGTCCTAAGCGTTAGCTCCACTCCCCCGCCGCACCAGTCTCCCGACACGGGGCCCCAAGGGGAGCAGGCCTGCTCGCGAATTGTATGTTGCCATGTAGGCGTCGTCTTCCGTAGTAGTGAAGTCTTCGTTCCGCCTGTTGGTAGTTTCCTCCTCGGCGGATCCTCACCCTCGTCATGACACACCCACCTGTGAAAGCTGCTCCTCCCTCCTCTCGTCTGCTTTTCCACTGCGCCATCCTCCCACCTTACTCTTCTTCTTCCCACCTCCTTCCTCTCCTTCGTCCCCCCCCTCCCTTCTCACATGTCACGCAACTTTCAGACCGCGGGCGTAGGCGTGTTCGTCAGCGCGAACCCGTCGCGTTGTGTGTGCAAAGTCGGCGGCCCCAAAATATTGTCCCACACTAGGAGAACTTGAATGCTCAGAAAGACAGGACATTCGAACGAGCGGGTTGAAAGATATATCCCTGCCGCCGGCTGCCGACCTCTTCCTTCGATGTTGGAGGACGACTGGGTTCGTCACTGCTACTGTGCGTTTGTTACATACTCGTGAGAATATCAACGAGTATGGGGCAGAACCAAAGATCAACCAATACAGGATGAGCATGTATGCAGCGGAAGTCTGATAACGGACTGACTCACATAGACTGACTCACACAGATATCACTCCACACACATACAATTGTGAGATGGTGGGGTCTGAGCCATACATGGAAGATGCTCAGGCCACGTACACACATACACAGATGAAAGGTGGGAGGAGAGACGAAGGAGGTGGGGGAGGTAGACAGCACCGAAGGTCACCGAAATAGAATCCGATAGGTCACCGAGATGGTAGTCCAAAATGTCGTCAAACAAGATCAAAATGTCCAGGACAATAAGTCACCAATGTCGGAGATACAGAGTCCAAATGTAATCGGTGTCCGAACTGTGATGCCGCCGAGTATCAACCCCAACAATCTCCAAGTCTCGAATCCAATAAGTACATAGCCTCATACCACCAAAGTCCAACACGGATCTTTGTCCAACTAGTATGAAGTCTCCATCCTGAAGAAGAAGAAGAAGAAGTCTGAAGAAGAAGGAGGAGAGAGAGAGAGAGGGGACTGGCGATGGGAGGGAGGAAAGAACCTCCGGTTCCCGATACCTCAGGCGGCTATGGCCGTCCATCTTGCTCAGTCGCCGCTGCTGCTGCTCTGCTCGCTGCCGCTGCTGCGCTACCGCTGCTGCTCCTCGTGCTCCTGCGCTAAGTATAGCGCTAGCGCTCTGGCGCTAACCATAACGCACTGCGTAGAATGCCGGTGGTTCAATGGCGAACTGAGGCTGGAACGATACTTTTGTAACGGTGGGGCAGAGGTCGGCCTCTATGCTGCGAGGCCTGGCCGTGCCCTGAACCGTCAAGATGGGCGGTTTAGCCCCAACCGGCGGGCGGCAGCCTCAAGAGCGCCGCCAGGCCCAAACGGTAATGTCGTTTGGACCTGCCCGTCGGGTCTGGTCCAAGATGAGGCCTTTACGGCTTGAAGTACCCCAAGGTCGGGCCTTTCAGCCCTACTGTGTCCCTCTGGCCCTAAGTCGGGTCCGGTAGGACCCGTGTGGCGTCGAAGATGTAACACGCTCCCCCTCTTAAAAGACCGAGCTACCTGCGAGGGCGAAGTTGTCTGTCCGATACCGGGATGGGTCAGGTGGGACGAGCTGCTTCCTTGGCAAGGCGTCGCTTCTCATAGTCGGCGAAGATAAGGGGTGTAGAAGTCTGCAAGTTTGCACTAGAGATCCACCGAGTGTCGCCAGGCGCACATTGCTTGAATGTGACTTTGAACTGCATTGGCTTGTTGCCATACTTGCGGTTCATGATGACTCGGTCCACTTCCTGATGTCCGTCCATAGAAGGCTGATCCTGTGATAGACGGCCAGGGAACTCGATGGTAGAAGGTGGCGTGTAGATGGCCAGCTTCAACGCGTGAAAGACCCGGTGCACTGTAAGGTGCGGAGGAATGTTGATCACGAAGGAAGGACCTGCGGGGTCGTCTCCAACGGCAGAAGTGACTTCCCATGGTCCGAACCATTTCGGAAGGAGTTTGCGCGGAACGTCCTGCTCGAGCGCAAATTCCTCGGAGAGGACCCAAACAAGGTCTCCCCCGCGGAAAGGACATGGAAGTCGACGTCGGTTAGCTTGCTGTTGCATGCAGATTTGGGCCTTTTGCATATTTGCGCGGGCTTTGATCAGCAAGTCCCGGTACTTCCGAACAGAAGCGGGAGAGCAAGGGACGTCTATGTCGGCAGCCTGTGGCAAAAGGAGATCAGCGAAGATCCGTGCTTTCTCTCCACCATGATGTAGCTCGAATGGTGTGCCGCAGATCGCCGGATGCACCGAAGTGTTATAGGCGAACTCGATGTCGGGAAGCCAATCAACCCAATCTTTCTCGTCGGGACGGATGAGTGTACGCAACATCATCTGAGCGGTCTGGTGTGCTCACTCCGTCTGACCATCCGTCTGCGGGTGCCGAGCCGAGCTCGGCTTCATTGTCGTACCGGACTCAGCCATGAGGGAAGTCCAAAAGGCCGACATGAAGCGAGTATCTCGGTCGCTCACTATGTCTTCCGGAACACCCTGGTTGGTAATCCAACCGGTGTGCGAGAGTCGTGCGAACTCAGGCGCTGCAGCATGATACTTGCAAGGAAGGAAGCGAGCATACTTGCTCTAATGGTCAACAACCGTGAGAATACGGTCATGGCCATGGCGATCGCGGGGGAACGGGTCTATCACGTCCATAGCAATGGAGAGGCGCGGTGCCCGGGGAATCGGCAATGGTTTCAGTTCGCTGAAGGGGACTCCAGATCGACCCTTGTTACGGTGGCAAAGTGCACATGACTCAATGTACCTTGTGACGTCATGAAGGACGTCGGGCCAGTGAAAACGCTGGCGGAGGCGTGCTAGTGTGCGGTTCACGCCAAGGTGTGCCGARAGTCGTGCGTYGTGGAAKTCGCCGAGAAGACGAGTCCGTAAGATGCGATCTTGGGGCACAACTAACAAGTCCTTTCCTCTCGTRTGAAGGAGAAGGAACCCGTYGGAAATCCGATAGTGGSTAGCCGGCGGGTGATCCGATGAAAGCTCCGCGTAAAGCGTAGAGGAAGTCGGATCGGACTTGTAGCCTTTGACGAAATGCAGCTGCAGATCGTCCTCGAGGTCGAATGTCGTGGTCACAATGGCTCAAAAATCGGGCCGTCGTGAGAGGGCGTCCGCAGCTCGATTGGCGGGACCGGGAATGTGGCATGGGTCAAAGTCGAACTGGTCGATGTAATACATCCATCGACCGATCGTGCTAGTGACCGTATCCTGCGTTTTGTAAAAGGTCAACGGATTGTTGTCCGTATTCCATTTAAAACGCCAACGGCCGCCGTTTGAGAACGGTGACGAATGCGAGTAGCTCTTTCTTCCTAGCGTCGTCGAGAGTGTTGACGAGAGGCACCTTTTGGGAGAAATACTCAACCGGATGCCAACCGTCCTCGTGACACTGTTCCAACGCCGCACCAATACCGTATCCCGAAGCGTCCGTAGTCACTTGGGTGGGCAGGGTGGGGTCGTATATACGGAGGGCAGGTGCGGCTTGCATCGCTGCCTTCAACGTAGTGAACGCGCCACCGGCTACGTCGTCGAACTCGAAGTGCACCTTCGGGGACTGAAGTCTCTACAAAGGGGCGGACACTTTCGAGTACGACTCGACGAATCGCTGATAATATCCAGCCAAACCCATGAAAGAGCGTACATCCATCGTGCAATGGGGTTCCGGCCAATCCACGATGGCTTGGATCTTGTCCGGTAAGGGACGGATGCCTTTCGGCGTAACATACTGGCCCGAATACTCAAGCTCCTGCTTGGCGAACTCACACTTGTCGCGGTTTGCTTTGTACTTGGCCAGTCGCAAACGATTCAAAACAGCGCGAAGGTGTATGATGTGCTCGTCCAACGTCCTGCTATAGACCAARATGTCATCGAGGTAGATRAGGACGCTRCGATYGAGCAAGTCGCGAAACTCAGTCGTCATAGCTGCTTGAAAAGTCGCGGGGGCATTGGTGAGGCCAAATGGCATGACAACCCACTCAAAATGCCCGTACCGTGTCTTGAACGCGGTCTTGTACCGATCTTGAGGCTGGATTTCAATCTGGTGGTAACCCGACTTCAAGTCCAACTTCGAGAAGTACGTCGCGCCGCATAACCGCTCAAGGAGATCATCAATCCGAGGGAGAGGGTCGGCGTTCTCTACGGTTTGTGCGTTAAGTTTACGATAGTCGATGCATAACCGTAGATCTTTGTTCTTCTTCCGGACGAAGAGAACAGGKGCACCGTATGGCGAGCAACTAGGGCGAATCCAGTCCTTGTAGAGAAGGTCATCGAGTTGTGCGCGAAGCACCTCGAGTTCCTCTTCGCTCATGCGGTAAATACATCCACGCGGAGGGACGGCACCAGCCTCGAGAGTGATCCCGTGACGTATGGGCCGATCCGGAACCGTTCCGGTGGGAGCCTCGAAGACGTCTCCATACTCGTCCAAGAGGTGAGTGATGCGTGGGTCCGGCGGTGACGCGGCTGGTCCGTCCGGCGAGGGGAGAGCATGCAAGAATACAAGGCCCATTTCCTCGACGGTATTCCAAGCTATGGCGTCGCGAATTCTCGCAACGGAAACCACGTGACAAGCAATCGAAGTGTGAGGGGCCGCGACCGTACATGGGAGTAACACTCCGTTGCGATCACGGATGTGAACAGTTCGGTCATGAAAGTTCATCGGATGATCGTCGCTACACAACCAAGACATGCCTAGAATCATGTCGAACTTGGTGTCGAGGATGTCAAAAGACACCGGCTCGCACGCAAGTGGCGCAAAGTATACCGGAACGCCGTCGGCGCATCGGTCAATTGACTTTTGCGTGCGGCCGTCCGCGAGTGTAACTTGGGTGGGTTGCGTCTTCCTTCGAACGCGCGGGCCAAGACCTGCGTGGGCCATAAAGGCTTGGCTCATAAAGTTGCGAGACGCTCCGCAATCAATCAAGGTACTACAGGTTGCCTTTCCGATTTGAATGCGGATATAGAGTAAAGGAGCGTTGGTTTCGGCGTACCTTTGGGTGGCGTACTCGCGGTCAATCTTCACAAGATAGGAGCGGAGATCGACAACCGCTACCCCGTCGTCCGTCAATGGAGCTGGTACTGTAGTGTGCAAATAGGAGCATAGATTTGCCATCAAGGCATTGCAATGCGGCCTTGGCAAGGTTCCGGTCGAGGGTAGAGGCATCCAAGCGAAGTCCTCTCTCGTGAACAGGTAAAGCTCCTCAAGTCTTGACCACGCCGTCGAGTCCTCGGAAGTCGGTGGCGAGCTGACCGGATCACTTGCCGATGGTGTACAGGCTGCGCATACGCAATCTAAGTGCACGTGGCTCGACTGGTCTAGTGGTGGTACCAGCTGGGCGACATAATCCTCGTATGTAGCACGAGAATCAGCGACTAACGCATGCTCCCCGGTAGTGACATCGATTGCTAGCAAGGCAACCGGGTCCGGCGGAGTGAGGAGAGACGTCGCCCCTCTCCTTGCGTAACTCAATTCCCCGAGTTAGCTGGAAGGGGTACGCGTGCCTTGCCCTTTTCGGGGCACTGTGTGGTCAAATGAGTGACTTCATTGCACCAAAGGCAATATCCGTACCGTTGACGAAGGTCATAGATTTCCTTGGTGATCTTGTATGTCGTCCATGGCTGCTGCCCAGTTCCCGTCGATGCCGTCTCTTGTGTCGCCTTGTTCTTCCGAACTCTCTTGGGACGCTTCGGCGGGAGCGCTGCTACAATTCCTCCATCACTCGAGGATGCTGCTGAAGCGTGAAGATCGACTGTTTCGTCAGAAATCACGACATTATTATGTGCCGGTCGTTGATAGCCCGACTTAGCCACATAATGCGGCTGGGACTGCCGTTCGTTTGCGGCCTTGTCATCCGTTTGGATGACCAAGTTCGCACGATCCAGGATGGTCTGGAATGAGGCGTAATCGTACTCGTTGCCGAGTGCGGTTCGCAGTCCTGCACACGATCGCAAGAAGAACTCGGATCGTTGGTTCGAAGAACTCAAATCAAAACCTGGCGTGGTCACTATCTTTTGCCACTTGGTTGTCGAGTCTCGAGTTGGCATATTCCCTTGAGAGGAGGTGTACACCTCGTTCATGGCCGCCTTCACGACGTTACGGACCATGAACCGAGTGAACCATAGCTTCTCGAACTCCTTCCACGGGATGTGCGTGTGGAGTTCGGCGATGGTGCATTTGTTGGTAGCCGCCAGATGGTTCATCCAGGTCTGCGCTCCTCCAATCAGTTGTAAGTAGAGCGCCTTCATCATGTCGTCAGCCGGGACAGTGCGGCATGCTGCTTCCGTGAGGAAACGTTGCCACCATGTCAAGGCGTCCGACTTGTTGTAGTCGTCGAACTTGTTGATGTCAAAGTGCGGCATCTTGTAATTCTTTGTAGCGGCGTCCGGTCTTGTCTGCAGTATGGTGATGCTCGTCTTGATGGCGGCCACCGCGCTGCTGATCGTGGCCGGACGAGTGTAATCACCTAGTTCGCCAATGATAGTGACGACGTGATTGATGCGCTCGTTGAGCTGCTTCGTCGCATCCGGCGTGCAGCTTGGTGCTGCTGAGGTCTTAGCCTCGATGTCGTTGATGCGTGCGAGAGTAGAGTTCAACAGTTGTTGCTGTTGCTGCTGCTGCGTTGTTGCGCCGCGGACGACGGCCGTCAAAGCAGCCACCTCTTGCTGGTGCTTTTGTCGTTGCTGTCGTTCTGCGAGCAGGTGTGCCTGCAGCAGTTTGTTGTTCCACATTAATCCCTTCACAACGCTGAACATCAGGGTAGCCAGGTTACTTCTCTCTCCCTCCGCCTGTATCGGAGCCGCCTGCGCTTCCGTAGGCACAAAGAACATGCCTTCGAGTAGCGTTGTCCACTGATTCTCATGTTAAATCAGGGACTCCGTGCTGGCGGCATTCCGTCTGTCTCGTGCCGCTGCGTCAGCCTCAGCAGTCTATTGAGCTTGGGTTGCCGCCTCAGCTGCTGATGTTCTGCCTGTGCTGCTTCCTGCTGAGCCTTGGCGGTAGCTACGGCATCAATGAATACCTGTAGCCGCCCAAGGTAGTCAGCCTGCAGGGGGGCCCCTTGGACCGGACATGCGGGAAGAACTCCGGTGGGAACGGGTATTGTCAATGTTGTACTCGATGCCGCTTGAGTCGTCCGAGTGTTGAGCCGCTGTTGCTGATACTTGCTTCGTGGAGGTACCACAAGATGGTTACGAACTACAAGCCTGACACTGCGTCGTGGCAGTGCCCCGGTGTCTTGTTCCATCGACATCAGCTCTGGCTGATGTGTTACCTCAGACATCCCGGTGGTCACAGATCACGGGGAGGGTAGGGAGGGTGGGAACAGGGGTAGAACAATCAAAACACTTCACATACAGTCCCTGTCCCACTAATGCACTTTAGACACCTTATCAAACAAAAAAAATAATTTTTCCGTAAACAATTCAAAAATTCGTAATAAGAAAATAATAACGATTTATTTAATTAATAAAGTTTAATTAATGATTAATAACGAAATAGTATTTCTCACATAAAAAATATTTGCAATAATGATAATATGAACGAATTTAAATTGTATCAAGATTAGGTATCCGTTGAGATCATCTTCAGTTCGGGAGTTCACGGTTAATTAGTGAACTACCCGGAAGTTGCAATTCTGAGGGTCAGATACTGATTAGTTTGCCAAAAAAAATTCGAAAAAGTAGAAGAAAAATACTCGAATTTTCAAAAACGTGAAATTTCGGGAATTTCCACCATCAAAATCCGATTTTTAAAGGCCTAAGTCCGTTTTCGAAATTTCGCAAACAAGGGAGAAAAAAAAAAAATTCGTGAAAATTTCGGAGTCCAACCCTAATTTTTCCCGATTCCGCGGAATTTTTGATTTTACGATTCCAAAACGTTCGAATTTTCCAAGTTGATTGAAAACCAAAAATTTTCGTAACCCTAATTTCCCACACTGCAATAAAACGAAAATGCCGATTTAGAAAACGGAATACAGGATTAAAATCAGAATGCGGGATTATAAAATCGAAAATAAAAATGAAAAAAGATTCTCGAATTAAACAGAGTACTGATTTAACCCTAATCACGAATTAATAATCAGAAATCCAAATTAATTAGAATGTCGGATTAGTATCACTTATCGGAATCCATTTAAATCGCATATCGGAATAAAACAGAAATCCGAATTACAAGTCCGAATATCGAATTGAAACAGAAATGCCGAAATAAACAGAATACCGAAAAGAAAAGAAAAAAATTTGCAACTTTGAACTCGATAGTAATACAGAGCTGATTTGGAAGATTGAAGAAGCAATCTAATTCCTATTTAGAGTTACCTGGTGAGCAGATCCATACAATGGTCTGCTCCGATACCAAAAATGTTAGATACTCGTGAGAATATCAACGAGTGTGGGGCAGAATCAAAGATCAACCATTACAGGATGAGCATGTATGCAGCGGAAGTCTGATAACGGACGGACTCACATAGACTGACTCACACAGATATCACTCCACACACATACAATCGTGAGATGGTGGGGTTTGAGCCATACATGGAAGATGCTCAGGCCCCGTACATACATACACAGACGAAAGGTGGGAGGAGAGACGAAGGAGGTGGGGGAGGTAGACAGCACCGAAGGTCACCGAAACAGAATCCGATAGGTCACGGAGATGGTAGTCCAAAATGTCATCAAACAAGATCAAAATGTCGAGGACAATAAGTCACCAATGTCCGAGATACAGAGTCCAAATGTAACCGGTGTCCGAACTGTGATGCCGCCGAGTATCAACCCCAACAATCTCCAAGTCTCGAATCCGGTAAGTACCACAGCCTCATACCACCAAAGGCCAACACTGATCTCTGTCCAACTAGTATGAAGTCTCCAATCTGAAGAAGAAGAAGAAGAAGTCTGAAGAAGAAGAAGTAGAGTCTGAAAAAGAAGAAGAAGCAGTCTGAAGAAGAAGAAGAAGAAGAAGAAAAGAGTCGAGGAGGAGAGAGACAGAGAGGGGACTGGCAATGGGAGGGAGGAGAGAACCTCAGGCTCCTGATATCTCAGGCGGCTATGGCCGCCGATCTTGCTCAGTCGCCGCTGCCGCTGCTCTGCTCGTTGCCGCTGCTGCTCCTCGTGCTCCTGCGCTAAGTATAGCGCTAGCGCTCTGGCGCTAACCATAACGCACCGCGTAGAATGCCGGTGGTTCGGTGGCGAACTAAGGATGGACCGGTACTTTTGTACCGGTGGGTAAGAGGCCGGCCTCTATGCTGCAAGGCCTGGCCGTCCCCTGAATCGTCACGATGGACGGTTCAGCCCCAACCGGTGGGCGGCAGCCTCAAGAGTGCCACCAGGCCCAAACGGTAATGTCGTTTGGGCCTGCCCGTCGGGGCTGGTCCAAGATGAGGCCTTTACGGCCTGAAATACCCCAAGGCCGGGCCGTTCGGCCCTACTGTGTCCCTCTGGCCCTAAGTCGGGTCCGGTAGGACCCGTGTGGCGTCGAAGATGTAACAGCGCTCCTGCCGAACCTTGCAGCGTTTGCAGGGGTTGCCATCGCCCTGGCATCTACTTCGACGTCTCTCTCTCTCTCTCTCTCTCTCTCTCTCTCTCTCTCTCTCTCTCTCTCTCTCTCTCTCTCTCTCTATATATATATATATATATATATATAT